ACCTCCGCGTGAGCCTTCTGCAGTCTTCTCCCAATGGGGTCGATGGCCAGAGCTTCATTCTTCTAGTACAGCGTAGAGCAGCTGTGGAGGGACCACACACACCAAGGAGTGCAGTCAGGTGTTTATCCGGGTCTTAGTCGCTGCTCCTCACTGCAGAGACATAACACCTGTTGCCTGCAGTTTAAAGGGGGAGTTTATTTTGGGTCACAGTTTTCGTCCCTAAGTGATTGCTCCAAGGCAGCCAGACTTGATGAGAGGATCTGGTGGGGGAGAGCAGCTCCCAGCATGGCGGCTGGGAAGCAGAGACCGAAGGGAGGAGTCAGGGCGGGAGAGGCACCCTTCCAGCACAAGCCCGCAGTGACCACCTGTCTGCTAGACCAGACCCCACCTGCGACAGCAGGTCAGCTGCAAGGTCCCATCCAGTCCTCTCCAAAGCCCCACCTGTGAGTGCATGGAGCTCTCGGGGCACACTGGGATATAAGCGTAAAAGCGGTAACTGGCCAGAGAGAAGTGGCCTACCGTAGTCGCCAACTCTATCAGAGGCCACCTCTGACCACAGTATTGGCATAGACCATCTGCCATGCCCTATTCCCACCCCAACAGAGAAACTCTCCTGAGGCTGCACATTCTGAGGAATTAAGGCCATGTTCCTGAGCTGGCTAGGGCCAGACTTTCCTTTGGGTTGTGGGAGGTTAATTCTTTCCCTTGCATCTTAGCACAGGATAGTTCTCTGCTGCTGGCTTCTGGCCTGGTGACTTTCCATGTTGTCTTGTCTGTGCCTTGCAGAGCTTCCATGTTGGTTCCCTTAAACTTTGCTCTCCTCCTGAGATACCATGGACCCTCAGTGACGCTTCAGTGACCCTCAGTGACTCTTCTTTGCATGAAGTCTCATCTCTCTGTCCTGTGATGTTCCTTATAATCTGTGTGTCAATTGCTTTTCCCATGTCTGCTGTCTGCCCATGTGACTGAGCACATGTGGAGTGGCCTTTCAGTGGATACTGACACACTCCCCCGTTTGGCCTGATTCTGCTGCTCCACGCTCCTGAGCTCATCCCCCGGCTCCTGGGCGTTTCACTAAGAATCTATTCTCTTCTTTGCTTTCTTCTGCAGACTTGAGGAGGAGGCCAGTTTTCTGTTTGTGCCTTAGTTAGTAGTCCTAATTTTCCACTGGAGTGGAATTGCTGTTTCACCTGTCCTGTTCAGTCTGTATTCCTGCAAACGCCTCTCCCAGCTGGTCCCATGGAGGGGCTCCTATCAGTTCACCCAGTCCTGGGGATGATACCGGATGCCCATTTTGCAGCTCAGCCTGTGCAGGACAAAGTGGCTTTTCACTTACATGCCGTGAGCCCCAGGTATTTCTGCCTAATTTGCCATTTCCTTTTCCCATAATGTACCTACTCAGGCATACTACTTCACTTTGATATTTTATCCATTGCCTATTCACCCTTTGAAGTTCACATCACATGTTGCTTTCCTTTTCAGAAACTTTCCTGACTGCTCTACTTCGAAATAACCTTTCTTGCCTCAATTCCATAGTATTTATTGTATGGAAGAGCAGAATAATTGAATACTGTCTTGTTTGAGCAACTGAGAGCATGATCAATTTTTGCTTTATCTTCTAACAACTTCCCATGCATGGCCACAAATAATTGCTATACCTGGTAATTTTCTGCCAGTGGCTCCATGATGAACTATCTGTCAATTAAACCTCATGGCCACTGGTAAATTCATGGAAGTTGGGAAACTCTGTCCCCTCAGTGTATAGGTTTTCTGAACCTGTACCCATGGGGTTCTTTCCCTCACTGTACTAGAATTTATGATACCAGATAGGCCTGTCCATTGTCATATTTCTTCTATAATTTTACTGTTATATGATCTCCAAGTTGAGCTCTCAGCCCAAAATGTTAATTTTTTTCTGACATCCATAGGATAAAGGCTGCTGCTCAAGTGACCTCTGCTCTCCACGAGAATGTTTGAGTCCACATCCTAGGTTATTCTGTGTAGCATGGGCATGGGGAAGGTTGCATGTTGTGCAGAAGGCCATGCAGTGATGGGAAATTGATGTTAAGTTTTACTTCTGCATTTTCATTTGCAGACAATTTTAAGGGCTTGAGACTGTGAGTATAGAGGTAACACATCTAGGAAAGGTTGATTTTTTTGCAAATCAAAAAGCACTGTAATGTTAGTTCTGTACGTAGATGTTCACAATGACAGTTTATTTTTTCCCAGAGTGGAACACAAGTTGAGGATTACAACACAGAAGACTTTGAAGGTGCTTTGTACCCAGTTTAATGCTAAGCTGCAAGAGCAAGAATGAGGGTACCGTAAAGTTGCACCAAATAGGGAAGAATATGTTATAAAACACGTGGCTGCGCCTCTGGAGCTTTGCAGTTTTCTTACCTTTCGACGTCTCCAGTGCCATAGGATGTGTACGTGCAGTGGGATGTCTGTGGCCTCGCTGGGGAAGGATAAGTGAGCTCAGCTGCTGGGCGTCAGGGGCCATTTTCTTCTTCACCTTAGTTCACTCAAGGTCTCTGTTCTGCTGCTGTGGTTTTTGTCCCACCTTGGCTCATTTCCCCAGGGCAGTGCTGACCCTCAGGTCAGCAGTCATGGTTTCTCCAAGCCACTGAGCTGTGTTACCTAAGAGCTGACTTAAGTACTGCAGGGACTGCACTGGGTTTTGAAGCCTGAAGTTTGAGTCAGGATTGGCTAGTTGTCTGTCCAGCCTGGATTCAGCAGGGACATTCCCTTCCTGTTTGTGTCACTGATTCTGAATTCTTGCAATGTTCTCAGCGCCACCTCCTTTTCCATTTAGGGGTGTGTCCCAGATTCTGTAGTTATAGCTCTGAGAGCACCTCAGCTCATGAGTGACCTTACCAGGTGGTGGGCTCGGGAATAGGAGACCCATGAGCTCCATTTTTAATTTAATTCTGAACTTGGACAGGTCCAGTGGCACTGTCCAATTGTGTTTCTTGAATTTTGACAGTGATCTAAATAAATAGAAGGAAATTTTAACCAAATTTGTTGTAAAACATATTTTAGGACTCAAGAGAGGACATTTACCTATTCAAACATGCTGTTTAATAAAGAAGTCCCAACTAATATATTTCACTGCTACATTCAGAGGAAATGTTGGTGTCACGAAAAAGAAATTGGCTGCTCTTAGGAAGTTTTCCTGGATTGAATGTGCCTCCTTACTTTAGGGAGAGCTCTTCAATTCCTCTTTTGGCCTCAAAGACTTGCATCTGCACCCTGGGCTTTCCAAAGGGTGATGTCATGAGCTGTCAAAGACCTTAGAACTGGGACCTTAGCGCTGGGGATTCTGCACAGTGTGAGCACACCTGGCTGTTCAGGTGCCTTTGCAGTGAGCATTTCCAAATTTGTGGCCTGGGGTCCCCCATGATTCCCAAGGACTGTTGTGTTTTCATTGCTCTCTGGTCTCTGAACCCCAGGACTTACAAAAGGGCATTTTAATAGATATAGACTTCTATAAATTTTCAGGTGTTATAATTCAGGTTACTTTCTGGAGGCCAGTGACCTTCTGATCATTACTAAGTGGACCATGTGGGGTGCATTTAGCAGCTAGAACACACTGGGAATTTTGCCTCTACTGTTCTCAGCTGCTCCCCAGGTGTGTGGTTAAGGATGGTCCACAGCAGCTTCCTTCACATGCAGATACCCACAGGTACTAACTGGGAAGAGGAGAAAGATAAAAGCTGGGTGAATAGAATGAGAAGAGGGAATATCACCATCTTGAAAGGGGAATACTTAGAGTACCAGGGATCATTCACAAGTGTGATGGCTTTTAGCCATAAAGTACTTGGTATGAATTACTTTAGGAGCAGAAGTTCATTTTAGCTCATGGTTTCAGAGGGTTCAGTCCATGATTGGCTGATTCCTTTAATGTTGGTCTGAAGGGAAACAGAACATGGTAGTAGAAGGGTGTGGCATGCCTCATGGTAGCCAGGAGAGGGGCACATCAGAGAGAGAAGAGGGGCTGAGGACAAGATATCTCTTTCAAATGTACGTCCCAGTGATCTACCTGCTTCATCAGGATCCCACTCCTCATAGCCCATGCCGCTGTGAATTCATGAAAGGATTAATCCTTCGGTGAAGTTAGAACCCTCCTGATCCGGCTGCCTTTCTGGGCTGCACCTCTGAACCTTACTGCATGGGGAATCAAGCCCTCAGTACATGAGTCTTTGGGGACACTTGATATTTAGACCATAACCACTGTTAATGGACACATTTCCTTTAAGTGGGGAGTCACTCATTTTTCAAGCGCTACCATTTATGTTTCTGGGGAAGTTGGGGTCTCACCTTATTCTTTCCAACCCATTACAATATCAGGTTTTCCAGATTTTTATATACTAAATAGAATTGAAATAATTTTGGTGAAATAAATTATTTTTAGCACATAGGATTCTTTTTCCCTGTGAAATCTCATAAAACTGCAACAAACAAATAATATGTAAGTAAAAAATAAAAGTCTCAAATTCACGTACAGTTTTCCCTATACCTATTGCCTTAATTTCTTTTATGAAATCCATTTCTTTAAGCACTAGGTAGGTTAAAAAGGTGGAATGAAGGAGCTGTTACAGAATGAGTATATTTTTATTTTTAAACTGCTTAATATAATTACATTGGATTCAAAGTGATGATTTTTTTAAGATTCTTTGCTTTTATATGTTGACCAACATTAAAATATCTGTTTCTCTTTTCTCTGAAGATAGAGACCCATTGCTCTGTGTGTGTGTGTGTGTGTGTGTGTGTGTGTGTTTGTGTGTATGTGTGTGTGTGTGTGTGTATGAGTGTGTGTGTGACAGTAATTTAGGGCTCTCATAATGGTGATCACCAAGTCACTCTGTCCTCTGTCACTCTGCTATAAGTCCTGCATTACCAAAGCAGAGTATTGATGGAACTTTCTGGAAATGACAACCAATGGCCACATTGCATTTTCAGATGACTTAATGGACCTCTCTCTTTTTCCTTTTCAGCACTGGTGTGTGAGAACTGGGCTAGCGTGCCCATGTGACTGTGAGGTTCAGTGCGGTTCATGACCGAGGACACACGGCCTTCTCTCTCTCTCTCCTCGGTAAGTCAGACATCAGAGGTGGAGGGTGGGAACTGATGAAACTAAAATTGCCATAGATAACAGCTGTTGCTCAGGAGTTGTACTCATCTCTGCTGTTAAAAATAGAAGTGAATGAGCAAGCTTTGAGAAAGAGAATTCTTTAAGGCAGAATTGTTTGGGGCTAAACCCACTCCAGAACCTCAAAGCCAGGAAGGCACTAGTGACTCATCTTCTGATGAGGCATCACGATGTGGTTGCCTGCCAGAGAGCAGTTTGGTCTGTCCTGCTGCTACTTCTGTGCCCTGCCCTGGTTTATTTCGTGGTGCATATGTGTGCCATCTCATTTTCCTATCCTGGACTTGCTGTGACCTGGGTAAGGACTAGAGTCCTCATGGTGCCCTGGCAGATCCTCCCGGTCAGGGCTGCACCTATGGTCCTGATTCTTTGCCCTGGCGTTTATGTAGCCCATCACTGGGCTGTTCTTAGCTTCTGCATGTTCGGCTCATTGAGCCTTCCAAAGGCCAGCTCGGGGGTGCTGCTTTCCTGGAGACCTTCAGCAGTGTTACCATACCGTCGCTGCATGTTATCTTCCCCTGGGATACCTCTGGCCGCTTTTCCAAGGGGTTGGGAAAAAAAGACAGAGAGAAGAGAATGGGGGCTAGTGGTGTAAGAGGACATGTGGAGAAAGGCAAGGAGCAGAGTTTCATTTCACGTGCCCACCACTGAAAAGACCCTGCCTCTTTTATTAACTGCTTCCCTCATAATTAACTCACCACCACACTAGGGATGGCATTATACTGCTTTCCAGTTCACAGAGTGCCTTGCTGTGGTGAGAGCTATGTTCTGTGCAAATGATACCTGTTCCAGCTCTGGGACTGTGGGTTTCCAACCTTGTTTTCTTCTGTAGTGAGAGCAGCTAAATGGATGTTACTTGGGGTTGTGCCCAGAGACATAAACATCCTCAACTGAGACTGGATGTCTTGTGTTGTGCTCCCATTTCACAGAAGGAGAAACTGAGGCTGCTCATCTCATGTCTCTACCTCCCCTGCACAGATTCAGGCTCGTGTCGTGCTGTGTCTGTTTTGTTTTTTTTTTTTGGTACTGGGAATCGAACTCAGTACCTTGTGCTTGCCAGACAGGCACTTGTGCCACTGAGCTATATCCCCGGCCCTCATGTCATGTCTGATATAGGGCTTATCCAGGCACTTGGGGTCCTCAGTCTTATCTCCCTGGGGAAGCACAGAATCTGAAAGCCAGAAGAGCAATGGAGACCACATAGAGACTCTGTTGGTTTGATCTGGATCTGCAGTGAACAAGACTATGAGCTGATGGGTTTTCACTGCGTAGCAGGCCATGTGCAGTGGTATTCATTCGGCTCTCATGACAAGCTTTGAAGAGGGTATTATTATGACCCGTGTTTTAAAGATGAAGAAACTGAGGCCAGGAAGGTTAAATAATCAGTCCACGTCATCAGAGGCAGAGCTGGGACTTGAATCCGTTTTTAACTCTGACATAGATAGTTCTGTCTTTCAGGCCTGGGATTACGTTACTAGAATAAGGACAAGTGTACCCTGGTTTTTTCCTTACTGGAAGTACCCAGACCCTTAAAGAGAAGTTTACAATTGATTTTTCAAGCAAGTATCTAAATCAGGAATTGGTAAATTTTTTCTGAAGAGGGTGAGATAGTATTTTACCGTCTGAAGGCCATAGAATCCTTGATATGTCAGCCCAACACTGCCACGAGACCAGGCAGAGAGGAGACAATGTGTCAGTGAATGAGCATGGCTGTGTTGCAATAAAACTTTATTTAGAAAGACAGATGGCAGGCTGGATTTGGCCCATAGACTGTAGTTTGTTGAACTTTTATGTATACGACCTTTGCAATGCATAAATATTTCATTATGCAGCAAATGAGAGTGTATCAGTGGTCAGTAAGTCCTTTAATAAAATTTAGCCTGGATTCATAGAATTTAATCATAAACAAATTTTAATGAAATCTACTGTAATTGCAAAGAGCTCCCTATGGGCATAAGTACATTTGCAATTCCATTGCTTGATGTACTCAATATGATCTAAGTGTATTAGTCTAAGTTCTAATGTGCACACCACAGCTTTGTTCAAAGTAGGACCTAGCGAACAGTATCTCTTGGTGTGTGTTGATAATCTATAATACATGATTTATTCATGGAATAAGTTTAGATAGCATGTCCTACTTTGGTCTTCATACAGTTTCTAAATGGACATTTTTATTTTGTATACATCACTGCCCATGTACATATAGAACAAACTTACACTTATCTTGGGATCTCTCATAATTGTGTTCAACAAAAGTGTTCTGCTGTCAAATACTCCTTTTTTATTAAGAGCAAAGACAGGGATCTGCAGGAGAAAAGTTAAACATGTTGACATTTAAGTTGTGAAATAATCCTACCTAAACTCTGTGCTGTGTGCATCAAATGGGGCGCTGTGTGCTTTTGTTTTGTTTTGTTCTGCTTTTCCTTATTTCTCGTGCGTGCTGTGACTCCTTGAGGTGTATCTCTACCGTACTTGCTCTCATGTAAAGAACTTGCACAAAAAAACTGAAAAACCAATTAGTTTGTGTTTTTTCAGAAGTTTGACTGGGTAATCACTCTGTTTTGTTCACTCATTCATTCTTGGAAATAAATAATTGTAGCAAGCCCGGGAGCCTGATGCAGCAAAACTTCTGGAGACACTCAAGGATCCACTGATTCCTAGATTCTCATTGCATTCATAATGGAAAAGTGTTTCTTCAGTTTCATAGCAATGATATAAAAAATAAAACTCTGATTATGAAAGTCCTGGAAAGCTCTCTAGGGTAACTTTTAAAGTGGAAAAAGAAAATCGCAGAATAATATACTTACTAGAACCCTATTCATCTTAGAAATACATTTACATTCACACATAGAATCCCTACACATAAGGTCATGTAGGTAATAAAGTCTGCTACAATACATTTGCATACCTACCTACTTGAAACATATTAACTCTGGACTTGAGAACTTTGTATTTTATCAGTCTCACTTCACTATGTAATTTTCCGGAATATTATTATTTTTGCAATTAAAAGAATAAAAAAATACATAAATGATTTAATCTAGTGAATGCTCATTATGAAATATATATAAAAGGAGGGGGAATTCACTGACAATGTCTCTACTAGAGATAGCCGTAGTAGGTATTTAATATAGGCTTCTATATTATATTAATGATGTGTAGTTTATGGAGTTGAACTAGTATTAGACAAAATTTTGATTCCCACATTTTCACTTGTTATAATAGATTACTCTTTCTCATATGTTTGCAAGTTGTTGCTAAACCTCATTTTAACGCATACATAATATTCCATTGTACAGACACTATAATACGTGTAATGTGTTGATTCTTTTGTTGGACATGTATGTTGTTTCTAGTTAACAAAAAGCATAGATGATGCTGAAAAGATCATGAAAAAAGGAGACAGCACATAGCTCACTCTCTGGCTTCTTATCCTCCTTTCCAGCCATTGGAAGGTCACAGGGTCATCTCTCTTGTGAAGAGCAAACAGTTGGTGCATAAAGTTTCATAAACAAGAACAATTAATATAATCACAAAGCTTTCTTTTAATTAAGGGTTAATTCTTTAGGTTAGGATGGTAATTGATTTACTGTTTCAAAGCCAATGGTTATAATAGGACTGTCCTGGGCAAGGTGGCACAGGCCTGTAATCCCAGCACTCGGGAGGCTGAGGCAGGAGGATCATTGCAAGTTCAAGACCAGCCTGGGTTACAAAGTGAACTTAAGGCCAGCCTGAACTGTGTAGTGAGACCCTGTCTCAAAAAGACCAAAACAAAAATTGAGTTCCTTATAATAGGACTGCAAGTTGGCTTTATGAAAATGTTATCGATATTTATACTTCATGAATAATATGCTAGTTTTCACTTTCACAGTATCATCAGTAAATTTTTGGTCAATATAATGATATGCCTTCTCCTTATATATTTCATTGCTTATTTATTATTTTATTTTGTTTGTTATTTTTTCAAGTAATCATTAGCTATTACTCCAAGAAGCAGGTAGAGGCAAATGTGTGTGTGTGAAGATGTCCATATTTTGCAGTTCTTTATTTATTGAGCTCAACATTTTTCTAACAGGTGTTAAGACTTGATTTTTGAGGATATTAATTCTTTGTTGTCTTCTTTCTATTTTCCGTGCTCATTGTCTTTATCCTGTTAAATTTAAGCTTAATGATGTTAAAATTTGTCCTTAAAATTGTTTTAATCACTGATTAGAAATTTAACAGAAATTTTCTTTTAGTTTCTTCACATGATTAAAAGTATGCACTTTTTGGTTCAAGGGACAGTTACTTAAAAACACAGGTTATTTTTAAAATTGTGCAGTTTTATTCTGTGCCTTTTTATCCTCACTAACACAAACCAATCCTTAATTTTAGTTTAATGTGGATGATCTGACAATCAAAATACTTGTATGAATGGGAAAAGAACCCAGCTGCACATTCCTTCATCTTGCAGATACACATCCTGTTTATAGCCAGACAATGGAAATTCTTTCATTATTTTATCAATTTTTCTTTTGTAGGGATTGGGTAACTTCTGCAGTTTGAGATGTTCTGCAGACTTCCCCTTTATTATTGACCACTGTATTTTAGAAGTGTTTTATTTGGTAGGACTTAGCTCATTATGTTGAGTATCTAAAGCATCCTTTGCTTCTTGTCTCATTTTTGGACCTAATTGGTGTTTGCTGTTAATGCTTAAGGATGGGTATAAATGACCAAGGTAAGGCTGGTCACACCTCAGGCATATGGATCCGTGTACTTCCTTGGAGAGTTTTGAGCATCCCTCTATAATATTAACTTGTGACATGCCTGCAGTAATGGTTTCATAAGTTTATAACTTCTGTAAGAAGTTATAGTCTACATTTTTCTTTCTTTTTTTTTTTTTTTTTTTTTTTTTGGTTTTTCTCCGGTACCGGGAACTGAACTCACGACCTTGTGCTTGCCAGGCA